CAAATCACTAAGATTGTGTGCAACAGAGCTCTAAGATCACGTGGCCAAATCTCTCAAATTGTACGCATCAGAGCACTCAGATTGTGCGACTAAATCTTTTTGATCGCTTGGTTAGATCACTCAAGTCCTGCACATTAGATTTCCCAGATTGTGCGCATCAACCTCTTAGATCGTGTGGCCAGATATGTCAGATCATGCGGTAAGATCTCTCAGACTGTACGCACAAGAGCTTACAGATCATGCAACCATATTTCTCAAACCGCGGGTTCAGATAGCCCAGATTGTAATATTCTGTCTAGCTAGTAGTTCTTTGGAAAAATATAAGTAAAACTCACTAACATGTTATAGAAAATATATATATATATATATATATATAAGAATGTAATAGTTGGCCCAAAATAAATTTAACTTTATATACAAATCTCTACATCAAATAATAAAGTCACAAAAAAAAGTACAAAGTAGTCTCGGACAGTGGTGCCATTCTCCTCCGCTACTTGACGTTCCTCCCGACCGCATCTCATCTATTACCTACAAATACAGTGAAATCAATGGAGTGAGCACTAATTGCTCAGCAAGTAAACCCACAATACTTCTATTCTTTTTCCGTTACTCAGATCCTGGATTTTCTTTCCTTAGACCAAACTTCTCAATTCTTCTCTGCTCTTTCTAAGATTCTAGTTTCTCACTTACCGATATGTAAGTACAAATAGGGAAACGAACTCAAGGTAGTAGAAATGGCATGATGCATATGCACAAATGCATAAACTTTTTCTATGCAATGCATTTTCTTTTCTGTTTTTCTGTTTCAATTTTTTTTTTTTTTTTTGTTTTCTTTTTTGTTTTTCTGTTTCAATTTTTTTTTTTTTTTTGTTTCTCTTCTATTCTTTCTTTCTCTTTCTTTCTTTTTCTTTCTTCTTTTCTTTTCTATTATTTCTTTGCCAATCGGACTCGTTTGAGGCTTGGATTCAGAAACTTGGTTGTGTGAGTGTATTATCAAATTCTTTCTTCGGTACGTCCTCATCCACATGCACTTCTTATGGGCTATACAAATTCTTCTTTCTTATTCTCAGGCCGTTAATTAAAGGTGGCGTGCACGTGGGGATATTTAGTGTTGCTGTCGTAGCAACTAAGATTAAAAACTTCCTAACCTAACTACTAACTGTAAATAGGGTAGCAAGGGTCGATCCCAGAAGAGTGTCTAGCCGAATTTTCGATGATGTGAAAAGGCTGGGGGGTTTTGATAAAACAGAAAACATCTTAGCCAAACAAAAACAAAACAATCAATTCGAATCAATTAATATACGAAACTTGGTCTCTGTCAACATCCACCATGGAATCTTACAACTGATCATTGATGCAAAAGTAATCATTCTTACTTTGAATATTCACCGTGAACTATTTTCCTATCTCTCCTTAATTATAATTAATTAGGAAACAAGCGATTTAATTAATCTTACATTAAACAACCCTAGACAAGCGCTAAAGTTTAATCTAATGCAGCCTTAAGAATTAAGGGATCGATGAAGCTAAACAACACAAACCAAGCGGTTGATTTAATTTTTGAGTGTTCCTTAAGATTACTAATTCCTGACGAGCAAATTATAACCCTAATTGCTTCACAAGTTAGAGGGATCAAACAATTACGGATTTATATCTAACTAGCAGTAGATTGTCAATAATAACCCAGTGGCCTCCTAGAATTAAATGACAATCATGAAAATAACATAAAGAACATCCATACTCAAAGCATAAAATTGAACACTAAAATAAAACGGATTAGATCTCACATTTGTGATTCCGAGCCTCTGTTTCCTTCGACCAAGTTATAAAATTAGCCTCTTATGGTCATCACGAAAATCCAAAGGAAAAGTTACAGAGAAGACAGAGAGGGCATGTCTCCCCCAAACCTAATCTGATCTCTCTAAAAAATATCTAGTTCAAGTATTGAAATTCCACTAAATCTCCTAAAAGAAATATTCTAATATCCTAAAATAACATTAATCCTAATTTGATTCTAATTAATTGAAAATAAGATAAAGTCCTAAAATAAAATAGGAAAGTGGTGATTCTGAGCTGTAACTTGCTTGCCACATGTCTTCAAATCTTCCAATAATAAACTGCCCAATTGATTTGCATGACAAGGCAAAATGTTCCAGAACGTCGGCAGTGCAGGTGCGTCAATTTGAAGCCTGATTACAACCTTGATCCAGCAAGTATCTCTCCAAACTCAAAACATGAAAGTTGTAGATCTCTTTCTTAGTGTTCCACAGAATTTTGAATCATCTCAATCGGAGCTCAGATGAGAGAGTTATGCCCAGATTATGAAACAATGTTGAAACTGTCTGAATTCACTTAATTAGTTCCGTTTTGCAATTAACACCTCCATTTGCTTCCTAAATCAAAATAGAGTAATAATGAGTACAATTAGGCAACAAATAGGTATAAAAGACTAAACATTAAGGGAGGTAAATATGACATTTTGTATTCCCATCAAATTCCCCCACGCTTAGCTTTTGCACGTCCTCGGGCAAACTAATTCAAACAAACACTACACTCAAGTCATATGAGGAACACCATCATCTCAAGTCATATCAAGAACACCATCCTGATGCATAAGCAACAATATTTAATCCATGCATATTCGTACCTAACTTAGGAAGCAGCAAAATAAAATGAAGTAGAGTTAATGACATTCATCTCTCTTCATCATTTTCCACAATTACTCTCAATCAATCAATGTAAACAAGGAAACTAATCACAACCAATTCATGTACAACTCCCCTCTCAACTTTTCCTCAACTGTTTCTCTTTACTACTACAAATTGGGTAACAAACTAAGGATATATTTTTTTTTCTTTTTTTTTTTTTCTTTCTGTTTTGAAAAAGAATGAGTGTATTTTATGCTCCATCTCATTTCATGGTTGTGTTTATGAGTGAGTGCGTTTTACGCTCCATCTCGACTCACCACATACCTTTCTTTTCTTTTTCCTATTTGCTTAAACCCAAATTTAGGACTAGCTTAAGAGAAACAATTTTTTCGTCACTAAGTTCACACAACTTCTCAAGACATATTGTTTCAAACTACAAAGATTCAAATATGATTAACTCTATTTTATGAAATATTGCTAACATCCTAAGTCAAGGAATATGCTCAACAACAAAGTCAAGTTACTATTTCATGCATCACTAGACATGACTTAATGCATAAACCTTCCTAAAAACAGAAAAACTATATGTTCTTTTTTTTTTTTTTTAACAAATTAAAACACAACCTAAATCCCCTCCCCCACACTTAAAACTAACATTGTCCCCAATGTAAGATGAAATGCAAAGAAAAGGCAAAAATAACCAAAATTTAAAATGCGAGAAAAAGAAAACAAACTCCCCTTGGGTTGCCTCCCAAGCAGCACCTTGTTTATGGTCGTTGGCTTGACTCAAGGCTGTCTTCTTCAATCTGAATAAGTCGGATCCTCAAGGTCCAATCTTGCCACATTTTCTTCTTGGAAACCTTCATAGAAAGTCTTAAGTTTATGGCAATTCACCTTGAACACTTTCGAAGTTGCTAAACTTTGAATTTCAACTGCACCATGAGGAAACATATTAGTAACAACAAAAGGTCCAATCCAATGAGAATGCAACTTACCTAGAAACAAATGAAGTCATGAATTGTATAGAAGGACTTTTTGACCAACTTTAAACTCTTTCCTAGAGATCATCCTGTCATGAAAAGCCTTCGTCTTTTCCTTGTAAATCCTTGCATTCTCATAGGCATCATTGCGAATTTCCTCTAACTCTTGTAGTTGCAACTTCCTGTGTTTTCCACTTTCATCCATCTTCATGTTAAAACTATTGATTGCCTAATAAGCCTTGTGTTCTAACTCAACTGGAAGATGGCATGCTTTCGCAAACACCAACTGAAAAGGTGACATACCAATGGGCGTCTTATATGCAGTCCTATATGCCCACAAGGCATCATCCAAGCGCAAACTTCAGTCTTTTCTACTTGGATTGACCATCTTCTCAATGATGGACTTGATCTCTAGTTTTGACACTTCTGCTTGTCCACTAGTTTGCGAATGATAGGCAGTAGACACCTTGTGGGTCACATGATACTTTTTCAGCAAAGCCTCCACAGTTCGATTGCAAAAGTGAGTGCCTCGATCACTTATTAGAGCTTTTGGAATTCCAAAGTTGTAGAATATGTTAGACTTGATAAAATCTGCAACAACTTTAGAATCATCAATCCTAGTGGCTTTAGCTTCCACCCATTTCGAGATATAATCAACAACAAGCAAAATATAAACATAACCAAAAGATACAGGAAACGGTCCCATGAAATCGATGCCCCAAACATAAAAAATTTCGCAAAATAGTATGGGGGTTTGTGGCATCTCATTCTTTTGGGATATATTACTTGTCCTTTGACAATTATTGCATGACTTACAAAAAGAGTATTAATCTCAAATTAAAGATGGCCAATAGAAACCACATTCTAGCACTTTCCTCGCTGTCCTCTTAGCTCCAAAGTGACCTCCATATGCATAAGAATGACAAAAGCTGAGAATGGAAATAATTTCATTTTCATGAACGCACCTTCTTATTACTTAATCTACACAATGCTTCCATAAGTATGGGTCATCCCACACATAGTATTTGGCATCACTCTTGATCTTGTCTCTTTGAGCCCTAGAAAAACCAGGAGGAAAGATGTTAGTAACAAAAAAATTTACAAGATTTGCATACCAAGGTAATGTCACACTCGTGGAGAACAATTGCTCGTCAAGGAACATTTCTTGCAAATGAAGTTCATCCTCCACGTGAATTAGATGACTCAAATGATCTGCGACACTATTTTTTGTCCCTCCTTTGTCTTTGATCTCCAAATCGAATTCACTCAAGAGAAGTATCCACCTTATTAATCTCGGTTTTGCCCCTTTCTTCGTCATCAAATAACGCAAAGCTGCAAGATCAGAAAAAACAATAATTTTAGTACCAAGCTAATAAGATCGAAAATTTTCTAAAGCAAAAACAACAGCTAAAAGTTCTTTCTTAGTGGTGGAATAATTTCTCTGGGCATGATTCAAAATCCTGGAAGCATCATAAATGGCATGAGATGCTTTTCCAATCCTTTGACCCAAAACAGCACCTACTGCATAATCACTTGCGTCGCACATTATCTCGAAAGGAATGTTCCAGTCAGGGGGCTGGATAATTGGGGTAGAAGTCAGCAGTTCCTTCAGCTTGTCAAACGCCACTTTACATGCCTCATCGAGCTCAAAAACCACATCCTTTTGTAGCAACTTACATAGGGGTGCTATTTTGAAGAAGTCCTTAATGAATCTTCGATAAAAACCTGCATGTCCAAGAACAGAACGAACTTCCCACACACTAGTGGGGTACGGTAAAGATTGAATAATGTCAACTTTGGCTTTATCTACCTCAATGCCCTTAGATGAAACAACATGTCTGGAAATGGCTGGGGCGTTGCAAAGACCAAAGGGCATGCGACGATATGCAAAAGTTCTGAATGAGCATGTAAAAGTCGTCCTCTCTTGATCCTCCGGAGCAATCGCAATCTAAAAATAACCTGAATAACCATCAAGGAAATAATAGTAAGAATGACTAGCTAACCTTTCAAGCATTTGATCAATAAAAGGTAGATGAAAGTGGTCCTTGCGGGTTACAGCATTTAATTTCCTGTAATCTATGCAAACCTGCCACCCATTTTGAACACAGGTAGGAACTAACTCCTCATTCTGATTTTTCACAGCAGTTATTCCGGTCTTTTTAGGAACCACTTGAATAGGGCTAACCCAATTGCTATCCGAAATGGGATAAATCACTCCAACTTCAAGAAGTTTCAGGATCTCTTTCTTCACAACATCCATCATGGGTGGGTTCAATCTTCTTTGCGGTTGACAGAAAGGTTTTGCTCCTTCTTCAAGCAAGATACGATGCATGCATGTAGACAGGCTAATTCCTTTAATATTTGCAATTTTCCAACCAATTGCCGTCTTATGCTCCTTAAGGACCTGCACAAGTTTCTCTTCCTGCAATGCACTAAGTTTGCTAGAGATGATCACTGGTAATGTTTCTCCATCTCCAAGGAACACATACTTGAGGTAACTAGGGAGAGGCTTCAAATCTGGAATGGGAGCCTACAAAGCAGAAGGTAAAGGCCTCTCGTTAGAAATTGGTAATGCCATATAGGAAACGTTACCTGACTGATGCTGTAACTTTGAAGAATCATTCAATGCTGCAATAGTTTCCTGCAAATCAGTACTCAAGGCAAACTCCGCCTTCTTTTTCTCAAGATGATTACTAATGGCAACTTCAAATCCGTCTTCTCCATCAAGTTCAAAAACCTCCTGTGCTAAAGAATCAATCACATCAATAGAATAAACATGATTATCATCGTCATCATCATGATATTTCATGGCATCATAAATATTAAACTTGACAATTTCACCATCAAATTCCATGGTAAGTATGCCACTATGAACATCTATCTTAGTCTTGGATGTTTTTAAGAAAGGTCTTCCTAACAAAATATGAGTAGTTTGATCACTATTTTCCATATCAAGCACATAAAAATCAGTAGGGAAAACTACGTCGTTAACTTGTACCAGAATATCCTCAACTACACCCTTAGGATAGGCATTAGATCTATCAGCCAATTGAATCACAACACCAGTTTTATTCAAAGGCCCAAGTTTCAAAGAAGCATATATAGAGTATGGCATGACATTTATAGAAGCTCCTAAGTCTATCATGGCCTTCTCAAACCTAGTGTTACCTATCATACAAGAGATAGTAAACATACCTGGACTCTTACACTTCACTGGTAGTTTTCTCTGAATCACTGCAGAAACATTTTTCCCACTCTTACCTTTTCACACCCCTTAAGTTTCTATTTCCTCTTAAGTGTGCACAGTTCTTTCAAGAATTTAGCATAACGAGGTACTTGTTTAATAGCATCTAAGAGTGGAATATTTACCTCGCATCTAGGAAAAGTCTCATATATATCTCTGTTCTGCTCATCTTTTCTAGATTCTACCAAAGATTGAGGAAAAGGTGGTACCAGTTTATAGTTAGACAGAGGCGGAAACTTACGCTTAGGAACACCATTGTCGTTGGGAACGTTGCTGTCTACAACTACATCTTTCTCCGTTTCTTCCTTCGACGATGCAGGGGCTGCCTTTGTTGGAATCTCAACCTCTTTACCACTTCTCAAGACAATCGCACTTGCATTTTCTCTTGGATTGACCACCGTTTGAGAGGGTAATTTCCCCGAACTTTGCACCTCTAGCTTATTGATTGCGGTTGCCATCTGCCCTATCTGATTCTCCAAACTTTGAACACTGGCCCTCGTCTCCTGTTGAAATTGCAAAGTATTAGTAGCAAGAGACTTAACAATATCTTCTAAAGACATACCAGAATTAGCAGTTTGGTTCAGTTGTTGTCTAAGGGGGTATGGCTGCTTATACTGCTAGTAATTTGGGCTGTTTTGATGGTGGGGCTGATTCACTTATGGATTCCCATAGCCAAGATTAGGATGATATCTCTATCCAAGGTTATATGTGCTCGAATAAGGATCATACTTCCTTTGCGGTTGTCCAGGAAAATCGCCTGCTGTATTCACTTGCTTAACACGCTCCTCTTGAAGAGTTAGGCACATATCAGTTGGATGCCCTACTACCGAACAAATTCCACAAGCCTTCACTGTTTGCATGTTACCTACAGCTATTTGACGAACAAGAGAAGTTAGACTCGAGATTTGTTGTTCTAGGGAAGAAATATTTACCTCATTATCACGCCTAGATGGAAGGTCAAGCCTATTGCCAAACTGTTGAGAATTGGCTGCCATATTTGCAATCAAGTTTCTCACGGCCTCAGGAGTCTTATCCACCAAAGCTCCTCCACTTGCAGCATCAATCATGCTCTTATCAGTGTATGTAAGACCCTCATAGAAATACTGGATAAGTAGCTGCTCACTAATTTGATGATGGGGGCAGCTTGCACACAATTTCTTAAAGCGTTCCCAGTATTCATGTAGGGACTCTCTGTTATGCTACCTTACACCACAAATTTCTTTCCGAATGTTGGCTGCCCTTGAAGCTGGGAAATATTTCTCCAGAAATAATCTCTTCATCTCATTCCATGTGGTTATAGTTCCGAAGGGTAGATAATAAAGCCAATCCTTAGCCGAATCCTTCAAAGAAAACGGGAAAGCTCTTAATTTAATTTGCTTCTCAGTCACCCCCGTAGGTTTCATACTCGTGCAAACCACATGAAGCTCCTTTAGATGCTTGTGAGGATCTTCACTGCAAGACCATGAAAAGTGGGCAAGAGATGTATTAGTCCAGATTTCAATTCAAAAGTAGTGGCAGCATCTAAAACAGGAAACATTATGCATAAAGGTGCTTGATTCAAATCAGGGGCAGCAAACTCTTTCAAAGTCCGATTTCCAGCCATGACGTCCTCCTCTTCTAAATCAAAATTGCTTTCCTCGGAATCTGTCCGAGCTTCCTTCCTTAACCTGCGCAAAGTGCTCTCAATTTCTAGGTCGAATGTTGAGAAGACCTGGTCATAAAACACACAATCTTATAAAAGGAATAAATGACAAATAATGAAAACCAACCAGAAAAAAAAAAATAAAGATTTTTTTTTTTTTTATATGACCAGAAGTACAAAAACGCCAAAAACCCTATCAAAACATTCGAATTTGGCCTCAAGAGGATGGGGCTAGAAAAATTCTAGTGTTGCTCAGAATTTTGTTTTCTTCGAAAAGGGTACTCGCAGCACTCCTAACTCAACCAAATTTTGCCTTATGAACAGTACTACTGTTCACAATTTTTTTTTTCTGCTTTTCTGGAAAATAAAATAATAATAATAAAAAAAATAGCAAGAATGAAACAAGAAATCACAAAAACAAAAATAAATCAACTAGAATCACTCCCCGGCAACGGCTCCAAAATCTGGTGTGCTGTCGTAGGCAACCAAGATTAAAAACCTTCTTAACCTAACTACTGAACTGTAAATAGGGTAAGCAAGGGTCGATCCCACGAAGAGTGTCTAGCCGAATTTTCGATGATGTGAATAAGGCTGGGGGGTTTTGAGTAAAATAGAAGACAATCTTAGCCAAAAACAAAAACAAAAACAATTCAATTTGAAATCAATTAATATAACGAAACTTGGTCTCCGTCAACATCCACCATCGGAATCTTACAACTGATCATTGATGCAAAAGTAAATCAATTCTTACTTTGAATATTCACCGTTGGAACTATTTTCCTATCTCTCCTTAATTATAATTAATTAGGAAACAAGCGATCTTAATTAATCTTACTATTAAACAACCCTAGACAAGCGCTAAAGATTTAATCTAATGGCAGCCTTAAGCAGATCGATGAAGCTAAATAACACAAACTCAAGTGGTTGTATTTAATTTAGTCGAGTGTTCCTCTTAAGATTACTAATTCCTGACGCAGCAAATTAATAACCCTAATTGCTTCGCAAGTTAGAGGGATCAAACAATTACGGATTTGATATCTAACTTAGCAGTAGATTGTAGCAAATAATAACCTAGTAGGCCTCCTAGCAATTAAATGAAATAATCATGAAAATAAGCATAGAAGAACATCCAACACTCAAAGCATAAAATTGAACACTGAAATAAAATGGATTAGATCTCATAGTTATTGATTCTGAAACCTCCGTTTCCTTCGACCAAGTTATAAAAATTAGCCTCTCATGGCCATCACGAAAATTCTAAAGGAAAAGTTACAGAGATGCAAGAGAGAGGCATGACTCCCCCAAACCTAATCTGATCTCTCTAAAAAAAATATCCAGTTCAAGTATTTGAATTCCACTAAATCTCCTAAAAGAAATATTCTAATATCCTAAAATAACATTAATCCTAATTTGATTCTAATTAATTGAAAATAAGATAAAGTCCTAAAATAAAATAGGAAAGTGGTGATTCTGAGCTGTAACTTGCGTGCCACATGTCTTCATATCTTCCAATAATAAGCTGCCCAATTGATTTGTATGACAAGGCAAAATGTTCCAGAACGTCGGCAGTGCAGGTGCATCAACTTGAAGCCCGATTACAACCTTGATGCAGTGAGTATCTCTCCAAACTCAAAACATGAAAGTTGTAGATATATTTCTTAGTGTTCCACAGAATTTAGAGTCATCTCAATCGGAGCTCGGATGAAAGAGTTATGCCCAGATTATGAAATAATGTTGAAACTGTCCGAATTCACTTAATTAGTTCCGTTTTGCAATTAACACCTCCATTTGCATCCTAAATCAAAATAGAGTAATAATGAGTACAATTAGGCAACAAATACGTATAAAAGACTAAACATTATTAAGGGGGGTAAATATGACATTTTGCATTCCCATCAATATTCTTCTTCTCTGTCACTCACGGGTTCCCTATCGCAACAACCTTCTCCTCTCTTCTCTTTTTATATTTCTTTAACTAAAATTTCAGATTTGAGGTATTCTTTAATTATGGTCTTTAGATAATGACTCTACAATTAATTTCTTTTCTTTCTTTCTCTTTATTCTTTAATGATCTCATACATGTATATGTGCATGTAAATATGCTCATTCTTTGCTATTCTTTCTAAATGCAAATGCTCAAATGTAAGAATGCATTATGACATATAAAGATATCATTATGGAACTAGTATTCTCTACCAACAACATTTCCATAAGAAAGTAATAATGTAATATACTCATATATATGCACTTTCTTTGACATTTCATCAAACACCTTACATGCACATACAAACTCTAAATTGGTTACACTTCCACATATTTCTCAAGCCACCAAAATTGGAACAAAAACTCCCTAAGGCCAACAACCACTGAATTTTCACCTTTCACCCTTCCACATCCATTCTTTCATATTTCATCAACTCAACACATACAAATACATCACTTCTCAAGGCCATAAGATTCACAAATCAAACAACCTCAATTTCAATCCATAATTCTCATCATCCAAACACACATACAACATATAAAAAAGTTCTCTATACAAGTATTTATTCAATCAAAGCTAAAGTTGGATTTACTGACCTTGAATTTGAGCAATTCCAACACTATAATCTCTCTTTGGTAGAATTCCCCTTCTTCTTAACCCTAAGTATATAAACCATAAGAATTCAAAACTTTAAAATTTAATCTCACGTCTTGGTGCAAGAATCTTACCTTTGAATGCTTAGGATTGAAAATCTATCAAAATCTAGCCAAAATCCTATGAATTTCCTTGGAAATTTAGTGAAGAAATTTGAGAGAATTTGGGGTGAAGGTGGCGTGAACAATGGGTGGAGTGGCTAGGGTTTCAACTCTT